ATTTTTATTATTCTTATTAAAAAGAAGTGATGTACAATACAATTGCTCACTACCTGCTGACCAATGCCCAGCCAGTTTCTGAGCCACAGGGCCCCAGGTCAACTCTCCCCAATTTACATATCGAGCATGATGTCATACGGTATGGAATACCCCTTCGGCTAGTTTGGGTCAGCTGTCCCAGCTGTGACCCCTCCCAGCTCCTCGCTGGCAGGGCATGAGAAGCTGAAAAGTCCTTGACTAATGTAAGCACTACTTAGCAACAACTAAAACATCAGTGTGTTATCAACATTGGTCTCATACCAAATCCAAAAGACAGCACTATACCAGCTATCAGGAAGAAAATTAACTCTATCCCAGCCAAAGCCAAGACACAAGGTTTTTTTAACCTTGTCTGACTGCGAATACAGTCATCACAGAAACTAACTTCTACTCAGAAGACTGTTCACAGGTTTCTTTTGATCACCTTCCACATCTCCTGCTATCTTTTGATCAGATTAGTTCATTCTCACAGCGGGAAATAAATTTGTGACTCGACTTGGATTAGAGATGACCTGCTACTTGCATATCCAAACGAAGCAATTCTGTTCTCAAAAATGTTCACTGAACAGATACCTACTAAAGAGAAATGGACACTCTTCCAGCTACTGACAATAACTTGTTTTTGCAAGTGTGGCCACAGAAGAATATGGGTACATTTTCTATATATTTTTCCCTATGTTGACAGAAAGCTCCAGAAATTACATTAAAATAGCAGGTACAGTACTGCATTTATTGGGGTGCAAGTTATCAACCACAATCAGAAAGAGTAAGCCATAATACAACAAGCATTGAAGTCACATGTCAAAATCTTTCTTTTCTTCTATACTTCCTCAAGTGTTACTAACAGCTGAGCATTGATGGTAGTCTCCTTGAGGTTGCAGGTAAAACAGAATTTCACATTTATGTATTTTTCAAACTTCGATTTAGTACATAGAGGGTTCTCTGTCATGTAGGGATTGGAGCACCTCTGATATGAGGACAGGCTGAGGGTGCTGATATTGTTTAACCTGGAGAAGAACTGAGGGTGGGCAATCTTACCAGTGTGTATAAATACTTAAAAGGAAGAAATAAAGATGACTGACAGACTCTTCGCAGTGCTGCCCAGTGGAATGACAAGAGGCAACGGGCACAAACTGAAATACAAGAAACTACTTAAACAGAGGAAGTTTTTTTGTTTAAGAGTAGTCAAACACTGGCACAGGTTGCCCATAGTGGCTGTAGAGTTTGCATCCTCAGAAATAATAAAAATCAGCAAAGACATGGTTCTGAGCAGCCTGCTCTATTTGACCATGCTTTCAGCAGGCCAACTAGATCTCCAGAGGTCCCTGCCTCTGGGGTGCAATAGATTTTGGCTGAGGTGATGCTCCACAGATCACTATTGATCAAATCTTCTGAACAAAAAAAAGATCACCTGTTTGGTAACCTCATGCAGTGACAATAGTGTCATAACTAGGTGTTATGCCACTGGTAACTACACAAGTATACAACTAAAACAGGTGTAACTGTATCTATAGGACAGAACAAAAATGTTCCAAAGGAAGTGGCAAGTGAGATCATCTCAGCAGAATCAACCACAGCTGGAATATAATGCATAAATACACAGTAGAGAGGGCAATCAGCTGGCTAGCCTTTTATTTCAAGGAGGAAGAACTCAGCCAAAAAAATAATGCATCTTTTTTTTATCCAGTTTCTCTGTAGCTAACACTCAGACTGCACCATGCAGAGGCAGGGTCAACTAGACCAACTGTCCAAGAAAAACGGGCAACTCAAACACATGCAATAAGCTATAGGAAGAAACTTTCCTGAATTCACAGTGAAGAATGGGATACCACCATTCCCAACTAACTCCAATTTACAAAGTGGGGGTCTGCAGGAGTTGCCTCTGTGAGGAGAGGCCTGGGTTGCTCCATGCTGGACACAGCCAGTTCCAGACCCACTGCAGAACACAGCTGAGCCCCTCAGCCAAGACAGTGGTGCCTGTGAGAAAACATGTGTAAGAAAGTGTAAAAAACACTGCAGAGCAGCTGTGAGAGTGAGAGAAGTGTGAATGAAACAGCCCTGCAGACACCAAGGTCAGAGGAGAAGGAGAGGGAACTGTTTCCAGGGGCCAGAGTAGAGATTCCCCTGCAGCCCATGGAGAAGACCACAGTGGAGTAAATAGCCACAGTGCAGCCCTGTAGAAGACTCCATGCAGATAGACATGGCCTGGATGAAGGTGCAGCCTGTGGAGAGGAGACCATGCAGCAGCAGTGCTGGAGGACCCATGTGGCAGCTGCCTGTTCCTGACAGACTGTACCCTATGGAGACCCGTGTTGTTGAAAGACTGTATCCCATGGGAAGGACCCACACAGGAGCAGAACAGTGTGGGGATGAAAGAGCAGCAGAGAAGAGCTGTCACAAGCTGATCAACTCCCACCCTTATGGACAGGACCCATGCTTTTCTCTGAAAGTCAGATTTAAAAAGCAACACTTCTGGCTCTACCACTCCACCTTTTCTGCAAGGATTTCTCTTTTAAGCATGAGCATGCTTAGAAGCTCTATTTAGTAACTTTGGAAATAATGTGCTTAGGATGGAGATATGGGAAGACCAAATATATCGCAAAGCTTTTTCTTTAAAGACTAATAGATTTTAAAATAAATGCATGAGGAAAAGGCTTCACCAAGAATACATCAGCGAAATTAAGTGAAATAAGATTAGAGTATTACATAATGTACTCCGTAAGTGTATTACCAGAATGCATTCAGGTCAAGAAGGTCCGAGCTAGCCTCAGCTTGCATTTTAAGAACTGGCTATACTGTAACTTGACTTGCCCATTTGTTTTCCAAGGCTTCCAGAAAGTCTTTAAAATCCGAATACAATCAAAATAGTATTCTGCCATCTAGAAAGTCAGTTTGAACGTGCTTGTGTACCCTCAATTCTAAGAGCTCTCCAAGGAAATTCCAGCTCCTAACAGAGGGTTAGCAATGCTAGAAATCCTCTTTGCATCATAAATATTAGCATGACAATATACAGGAAACCCTTGCTACTTGGTGCATTTTTATCTGTGTTGCCAGAACACGGAGCTAATTAAAACAGCAGTCACAACAAGTGGATCTATTAAGACACTAATCCACCTTGACTAAGCTGAAAGACAAATGCACAGAGCAGCAGAAACTGTTGAGAAACAGAACACCAGAAGAACACTTACCTAAATTTAAGAAATCTGAGCTGGAAGAAGGTGGAAGTGAACTGTGTGAGGAAGGAACCGTATTAGCTGTAGATGTTGAGCTTGGATTAAGAAAGTCCCCAAAAAGGTCTGGACCAGGCAAGGCTTGATTCTCTGAACTTGATGACATCGTGAATGGGTCAAAAGGATCAGCTAAAAGAGAAGAAAACAAAATTATCCTATGACAAATTTTAGAATAAGCCAAGTTGAAAAAGCCTTACTCCTCTGGGGGCACAGACAAAAAGTATAGTTCATGCTGGTAACTGCAGGAGCCTTCTAAGAATTTTTTTGCCAAAAAGTCACTATCTGTCCCTTCCTCTAGACATCTGTAGCTTCATGTTGGTACAAAAAGTATTTCAGCTATACACAACATGAACAGCTACGTCTTCAAATACAAATCCTTAACAAGGCTGCATACATTCAGTAACATTGGTAACTTCATCCATGTAAGACACACCTTAAATTTGAGTGATCAGCTGCATACAAACAGAAGAACTACATTTGTTAAATGTTCTATAATGCCAAACCTCCAAAGAATTTAAACTAAACAGATTACTAAACTACTAAAAAGAATATCAAATAAAACATTCATACTACCACTTTGACTTGAAGGCATTGGTGACTCCGGGACAGAAAGAGCATTAACTCAAGGATGAAAATCAACAGAAGCAAGGCTTTCAACAGGTCTCTAGTGATCACAACAAAGAAAAAACTAATTGGAAGCGTATTTATAGTCAGCATGGGGCAACATGTGACAGCCTGCTGGAATCATGGCTCCAGATCTTCCTGTTTCTGCTGCCCTCTAGGGTCAGAATCCTCAAGAGCTCAGGGACTCCTGCCAGATTCACTCAGAAGCTGAAGAGAAGGAATAATCCTGCCATAGTGCCCTAGTACATCCTGAAGTGATGATCACATTGTATAGGACTCAGTATCACGTCAAAAAACAAACCTGGATTGTCACCAAGCTATCTTACTATAGCATCACACAGACAAAACCTCAAGTACAAGTTTAATGTGCAAAATGAAATACAGTGGCCAAAAATTTCACTTCTGCAATTATCCTTCTTTTATCCAATTCAAAGGTAGAATGACAGTCACACATAATTACTGACCAGGTGTTTTATGGAGTAGATATAAGAAAGGCATAGTTAAAGAAAGATAAAGTAATAAAGCTTTTATTTTACAGACTTCTGCCTATGTAAAAAAGGTAAATTAAGTGATTCCTCATTGACCACAGCAACAAAGTTCAGCACTGAATTGCTTCAAAAGAAAGAAATATTTGCAATCACCTAAATGCTCTACAAAAAACACTCTGCAGCTGTATGTAGATTACAGCTTTTAGTCCAAACAAATCAACCTTGCGCAAATAAACTAAGCCTTGTTAACAGTCTCCCAGTTTGATTAACATTCCCAAAAATCTTACTGTTAACTTCAGGCAGAGAACTGCTATTCTCCAAAGTTTAGTCATGTGACAAAGAGCTAAGTATCCATTAGTAAGAGGAACAGAACCTCTAAACTAAACATCTTGTTTTAAATACCAAATACATGGCAGTGTGTAACACTCTCTTTCAGGATACAGACCTGCCAACAGTAAAATCCGCAGGAAAAACACCTTTAAGCAGTAGCATTATCCTACTGGTTTGAACAGTAATCTACAGGATTTCCAGTTGCCTAGCAGTCTTACATGATTAACACTCAAAAATCCCACACAGACATTTGACCTAAGCAGCACAGCTCTACCACATCTAATGCTATTACTTCACGTAAAGTGCAAGAAGGCAGTAAGTTATTACAATTCTATGCCTTAGCAGAAGTTATTTACATGTGAATTTAGAAAAGGATCTAGCACGTAAAGTTTGTACAGGAAAGCTATACATTCCATAAGACTGAATCTCCTTTAAATTCAAAATGTGATACTTTTCTGTTTACATCGTTTAAAGCTAATAGGATATTGGCAACATATCTACGGCATTTTCTCTCCTTCATGCAGTAAAAACACCTGTTCTATGCAGACTTTTTGCTATAGACCAACATGTCTTCAGTGTACAGATCAAAACAAGGTACTCATTTTCTAAGCATAACGCAAGCAGCAGTTTTTATCTGTTTGCCAAAGAGTACTGATGTTAAATTTTTGTACCTGAAGACATGGCTGCTGCTGAAGATGTAGCCTGAGTAGCAGCTGGACACTGACTGCTGAAAAAGAAATCTGTTCCTTGTCCAAGAAGATCTCCAGTGGGCTCTTCTGAAATCTGTGATGCATTGTCCACAAACATAGTGTTCAACAAGTCCGCATTACTTGATGAAGAGTTCATTTCTGGGATAGGTTGTTTCTGTTCTGGTGAAATATCAGAGTCTAGTCCCAGTAAGTCTACATTCTCCTCAAGAAGAGTTTTTTGTATCGGTGTAGGTGTAGCTCCAAAATTTGCTTCAAAAAACAACTCTCCTTCTGGAGTAAGAGAATGTTTTTCATCAACAATTACTGCGCTTTCTTCACCTGGCAATGTAGGGAATTCCTCATCTGAAGGATCACTCTCCTCTTTGTCATCAGAGAGTTGAACACGATCATTTTTAGATGAACTGTCCTCTACTCTACTTTCTGGACTTTTTCCTTCTTGAATAAAAAGAAATAACAGCTTTAGATTACCAGGATTCTTCTGCCAACTAGGATAAGACAGACTTATATGGTGAGATCATACAAAATCAACCCTTAATTAATCAATGCTCACAAAAGAATTGATTAAAAAAGAACTGTTACCTACCACCTCTTTGTATAGCACAGGCAAAGGAGCAGCTCACTACCATACTTGCCACTCTGCAAGGGCAGGTATTATCATTTTTTTCAAAATGAGACTGACTTCGACATTGACATCAGAGTGTGTCATATCACTTATGGCTTAGAAGATCACTCAACTCAATGACAGCATTCAGTGACAGCATAAGCAGTTACTGGCTGTTTTGCCATCAAAGCAGAACCCAGAGAAAGGACTTAAATATGCACTATAAAGTTACATTTTCTCAGTCCATACATACTGATCTGGACCCCTCTGGCTAGTCTACTTTGTTTCCTCTGTTCCTCAGCTAGCCTAAGTGGGGCTGTGAGAATGCAAAGGCTTCCCTGAAAACCTTTACAGTTAGGATTTTTGCAGAAAGAGAAAAATTTAGCTCAGCAGTTAAGTTACACACAATACCAAAAAACATTACTTGGCATTTATCAAAATGAAGTCGAATGACCACTTTAACCTGCAGAGCTCACTCTTTAAATAGCTTTTTCACACAGCCTGGTGAAATTGTGACTTTTGCTGCATAAGGAGGCTTAAGCACTCCTTGGAAGGTGTACAAGACAAACACAAAACAAATAGTTACTTCAGAGGAAAACCTGTACCTTTCCAGTCCAGAGAATGAAAGAAGTTATTTGCATCAGTACTACTGCTGTGTGGGGATTCTGTATCAGTAGGTGCACTTTCTGAAGACTGCTCCAGCTGGGATGCTTCTGCTTCATATTGTGCAGTTGAACCTGGTTGTCTAGGCAGCTCCGGTTTCCCTATAAAATACATTTTAAGCCAAACCCTTTGAGAGAAACTTCTAATACTCAATCCTAGTCATAACAGCTGTTATTTGACTTACAGACTGACTGCTATAGCAAGACAACTGTCTCAAAGTACCTATTACTCTGCAACGGCAAAATCCCACCCCCCATTTGAAATTAGCAATATTAACTATGTTTCAACTACGAGAGCTGATAAGACCCTATTTTCAACTATAACATTATATCAAATCAGACTCATAGCAAAACACTGAAGCATTCTATTTACATTTGTCAGAAAATGTAATTAACACCTCACTTGTACCGACCATCCCGTAAAATATGCAAGAGCTATGAACATCTACAATAAGGAACATCAGAAAAGAACAAATGCAGCTATAGAAAAAACCCAGAGAATAAAGCCAGAGAAGAACATGAAGTTGTTGACTCCTCTGAGATGTTTGTTAAGTAATACACTGTGTGCTGCAAAATACACAAGTAATTACTCCTTATATTTCTTGTGTAAGACTGAGCTGGGCTCAGCTACAGTCTGCTATATCACCTCTGGAAAAGGAGATTTCCTCAAGGCAAATAAGACGACTCCGTAAATTAGTAAGTGTCAATCCACAGTTTGAAAAGAATGAGATAAATACTTGGGAGAAAGCTGTTTGTCTAAATCTAAATATCAAACTGGTAGAGCATTTTTTTACCGTCCTTCCACATACGCAGTTGTAGCTTACCGAGATGCTGAAAAAAATAGTCTCAGAAAACACACATGAAAGATCATGGTTAATAAAATAGCGCAAATTCAATTTCAACACGGCAAGTTTTATACAAACAGTTTACAGTACTTGCTCTTGTCCTATTCCCTTGCCACCAGTTTTAAGAAATATTTTCAATGGAAACTGAAACTCTTACATTTCAGTTATTAATCAGAAATTAAAGGAACTTAAAAAAAATAACAGTAACTTTTATGGATCCTCATTATCAGTGAAACACCTTAACTTCAGTGACCTGAATTGTTTTCACAGTAGGATTTTTAAAATCTATGTAAGCCAAGTTAAATAGAAGATGACCTAAATCATAATACAGACCAAACATACCCTGCTAAAAAAAGACAAAACAGCAGCAACTGTCTTGTATGAAAAGAAATGTAATTAAGATGTACCACATTAAAAGCAGAGAGTAAGATCACATGTATGGTGTACTAAAATGACCAAAATAATCTCCATCATGCTTTTTATTCTGGACACATAGAGAAGGCTTAAGAGCCTTATGGAAAATGTCAAAGCTAATTAGTGATACCAGGAGAAGACGACAGATACTGAACAGCATTAACTGGAATTAATGCAGGCATCTACAGATGAAGCACAGAACACATAGTATTAAAAAACTTAAATGTCTGCTGGACTCCATTAGGAAAAGTTCAGAAATTTAATTACAGCATTATTTGGCTGTATGCAAGAAGGACCTTGATAAAAAAACATTTTTACTTAAGACCTTTGTGAGAAATGCTCAGATGATTTTTAAGTGAAATGATAATGGAGCCAGTTTAGTCAAATTAGTTCTTCCAAGATATTTTGCCTACAAATTCTGGCTGTCACAATGCCATTTTCTAAAATTCCTGCAAATAGGATATTCACAACAAGCAAATGTAATGACAGTGGAGTTAAGACAAGGATAATTATAATCCATTATTGAAGGATAATTTATGCTTCTTCATACAACAGAAGTCAAGTGCTATTTAAAAAAAATACACCTTTTAAATTTCTTTCACTTAAAGGAAAGTCAGAAATAAAACAAAAGTCTCAAACACTAAGTACATTCTAACTTTATCATGTTCTTTAGTTTTTCAAGAGATTCATTACCAAATTTTGATAAAGTCTCTTGTTGTTCCTCTCGGGTGGAGAAAAGGATCTTGGGATTCAGTCCTTTTATATTCATGTTATCCCACGGTGGCTGTTCACAGCTAGGTCTATCTCTAGGCTCCACCTCTACTTCCAAATTAACTTGAAATAAATCAGGATATTTTTCTTGTATGTCACAGGCATCCAGATCATACCTGCAAAGATGCATACACATAGATTCTTGATACTGATGGCTAACTAGATTAAATTCACTGCAGTCCAAGACACAAAACTTTAAAGCAAGTAGTGTTAAGGTTTAAAACATGCTGTATTTGCTTATTTATACATGTGTTTTAAACAGGTGGTATTTTGATACAGAAATTTTTTGTATAATGCACAAAACCTTCAGTTTCCTTGAGGTGAGAAAACAAAAGAATCCTATTGCAATCAAAGTTACTCATCTACTTCCTCCACTAACTGTATTTCCTCCTCCTGCCGTATGTTGGTTTGGCAGGTTAAACAGTTTCAAAGAAAACTTCTTGCAGTTTCCTACAAAATTGTGTCAACATACTTGGCAAATTTCACTGTGGTGGCATTTCGGGGCACAAAACCTGTGTGGAACTGAATCTGAAACATCTTCATCGAAGCCATCTGTAGAAAACAAGAAATACAGGGAAACTGCATAAGTCCACAAGAAAAGTATGCACTGTTCTGCCTTTAATATAAGGCAAAGTATTTTCAGTATCAATCAGTTTGTTTTGCTACCATTTCAGATTAATTCCATGTATGGTCTACCTTGAGAGATTTAAATGCCGCTTAAAGTCAGAACGTAGATAAATCTATTACTACCGGAAACAACACAAAAGACCTTGAACCAGGTAAGTCTCATCACTAACCTCACATCAAAGTTTGTTAAACATTTCCAGATCCTGTTCTAGAGGATGAAAATGCATGACCTTTTTCTGAACAACATACACTCAGAAAAACTCACTGTGCAATACATTAATCAAGAAATACATGACCTATATGGAGGAGTCCATTCAGAAGTTTTAAATGCAGCACACCTAAAAGGACACTTCACAATATAAGCAAACAGTTTTTTCCTGTGCAAGTTCTGAAGTCAGCCATTCATCCCAGACAGAATTACACCACTTTTCCAAACTGATTGACTATAACCATTCAACCTTCTCAGCTCTTTATTCTGCTGACAGAGAAACTATTTTCCCATGCCTGATCAGCATGTGAGAGTCCAGAAAATGCTGCTATAGAAGATTCATGTAGCTCCTGGTCTTGCACAAATCCAAAATACAGCAAACAGATAAATCCACAATGTATTTGTCCCCCGGCTTTATAGAATCATTAAGGTTGGAAAAGACCTTTAAGGTCATCAAGTACCAACACCACCATGCCCACTAAGCCATGTCCTGAAGTGCCACATATACACATTTTTTGAACACTTGCAGTGATGGTGACACCACCACTTCCCTGGGCAGCCTCTTCCAATGCCTGACCACTCT